CATAGCGACCCTGCATAAGGTTTCCGAGGCTGTAAATCTTAACAGGAGCAGAAAGCCTCATCTTTATCCCATGGAACAGCTGATAGTTTTGAACTGCTAACTTTGAGGTTAACAGCTTGACTCGTAATCACTATGTTACCAGAGTCATTTTACTTGCTTTAGTCATTAACAAAATTTGTAAGTACTTGTACATTGAGTTTGTCCTCTTGGAATGCTCCCTCGAATGCCTGTTGTTGTTAATTGCCATATATATATATATCAGGCTTATTGTTAAGAAAGAAACTGAAGGAACATGAGACTATGGCCCTCAGGCCACTGCTCATCATGGAATGGTCAATCATTCAAGATCAAAAGGCAACGTTTACCTAAGGACAAGGTTCAGAAAAATTGGGAAGGAGGGTGGAATGGAAATAAGAACCGCAGAGAGGAAGGAGGACAACAGTTGTTACAGGGAGAGGATTGTAATCATTGAGATGAAACAAAGTGTGTGGTCTGTTGAATGCAAAACTGATGATCTTGTCTGTAAACTTTCCCTCCATTTACAATAAAAAAAAGTTTGTTTATTTTTTAAATAAGACATAGAAGGTAAAGTAGGGAGAACAAATATGGCAGACAGGACAATAAACGTTATTTTTCACTCATTCCTTAAACCCCAAAATACTCCACCTAAGAAAAAAACTTAATAATGAAACTATGTTTAATTACTTCATTCACATACATTTTAGCTGAGCAGGAACCAGGACTTAGATATGTCTTGGTAAGAAAAGTTAAACAAATCAGTTCACATCAGGGCTTGAATGTTTCCAGCTAGTGAGTTGGATAGTGCACCAGTGCACATATACCTACGTGCCTCTACTGACTGCCAGAAGGCCCAGAATGTCTGAAAAGGGAGGTGGGGTGAGGAATGGGTGGTAAAATTTAAATGTTGTTTTCTCTTAGTGTTTAGCACAAATAAGCAAGAGGAACAATGGTGCTGGGAAAGTTAAGAAGGTAAAAGGTGTGAAGCAATGACTTAAATCTTATAATGGGATTATATGGGGAATGTTGGCTCCAAGGGTCAATAAACGACCTAATACTAAAAATTATCCTACCCCTCTCACCCTGGAAAGGACTTGTATACTCTGGGAGAAAGTAGCTGCAAGTACATATGAATTGAAAAAGCTATAGTTTGATGTCCAAATATTCTGGTAAACATGGCACAGAGGAAGGAGGTATTCTCTTTCTCACCTTCAAAAGCATCCTGGCTGAGGTAAACTGGCTGAGATCTACACAAAGATGGTGAATGAGCCAGCAGCAATTGCAACAATGACAACACAAGACAACAGGCAACTCAGAGCAGTGCCTCTACAGGGCTTCTAAGGGTCTGAACTCTGCAGTCCATGTGGCCTGGTGCCAGCAACAGAGATCCAACTCTGCCCACTACCACAGCCCAGGTACTCAAAGCATATGAAGCCAGAGAGAATAGAGGCAGAACCTGTCAAAATGGTACTTCTATAAGACTTTACGGGCTGAACTGTGATGTTCCATTTTGACTAGCAAAGGTAGAAAGTAAAACAACTATATAGTTAAACTGTATTACTGTGACATTTAAGCAATCTTGCTGCCAGGCTTTGCCTCAGAAAACTTATTCTTTCTTATCAAGAACTATAAATACTGATTTGCAACTTTTCCAGAGACAATGATGATCACATAGTAGTAACCATGGCTATTGTTACTGTTGTTGGTAAGTGCATTTGAGTTGGTTCCAACTCACAGTGGCCCTATGTACAACAGAACAAAACACTGCTCAGACCTGGGCCATCCTCACAATCTGCTATATTTGAGCCCACTGTGGCAAACACTGTGCCAATCCAGCTCATTGAGAGTCTTCCTCTTTTTTTCCTGATCCTCTGATTCAAAGACATGAGTCTTGCCATTCTCGCTTCTAAGGAACATTCTGGCTGTGCTTTTTCCAAGATAGATTTGTTCTGTTCAGTCTTCTGAAAATCCATGGTAGATTTAATATTCATCATCAACACCATAATTCAAAGATATCAGTTCTTCTTAGGTCTTCTTTATGGTCTAGTTTCACATGCATATGAGGTTATTGAAAATACCATGACTTGGGTCTGACACACCTTAATCCACAAAGTGACATCTTTGCTTTTTTCCCCCCAACACTTTAAAGCAGTCTTTTGGCGTATATTTGCTCAGAGCCCTAGTGTGACGCTGTAGGTTAAAGCACTGGACCACAAGATCGGTTTGAGCCACAAGGTCAGTGATTCATATTTGCTCAATATAGCATAAATCATTTGATTTCTTGACTGCTACTTCCATGGGTGTTGATGGTGGACCTGAGTAAGATAAAATCCTTGATGAATAAAATCCTTCAGTCTTTTCTCTATTCACCATGATGCTGTTTATTGGTCCAGTTACAAAGATTTTAGTTTTCTTTATGTTGAAGCATAATCCATACTGAAGGCTGTAGTCTTTGATATTCATCTGAAAGAGCTTTAAGTTCTCTTCCTTTTCAACAAGAAAGGTTGTATCATCTGCAAATCACAGGTTGTTACTGAGTCTTCTTCCAATTCTGATTCCAAGTTTGTCTTCATATAGTCCAGTTTCTTAGATTATTTGCTTAGCATACAGATTGAGTAAATATGGTGAAAGGATATAACTCTGACACTCAGTATCCCCTTGTTCTATTTGAATGACTGCCTTTTGGTCTATGTACAGGTTCCACATGAGCACAAGCATTTTGGAATTCCCATTCTTTGCAATGTTATCTATAATTTGTCATGACACTCACAGTTGAATGCCTTTGCATAGTCAATGAAACACAAGTAAATATCTTTCTTTGTTTTCAGCCAAGATCCATTTTGACATCAGGAAAGATAACCATCATTCCAAATCCTCTTCTGAATCTAGCTTGAAATTCTGACAGTTCCCTGACAATGTACTTGTTGTTGTTGTTAAGAACTGCCAACCTGTGGTTCAAACTGACTTTGCAGTCCAGAGCATTATCCTGCAACACCACACAACTAGTACAAGCATTTTCTATTCTCTTCAACAAAAATTTACTTGCATGATATTAATGATATTGTTCAATAATTTCCACATACTGTTCGGTCACCGTTCTTTGGAAGAACACAAATATGAATCTCTCCCAATTGTTGTAAGTGCCATTGAGACCAATTAGTTGGACAAAATATCACTAGAATGAAACCATCAGTCCTCAATCATCCACAAATAATTGCCAGTGTAATTAAAAGGCATTTGTATGTAGTATTCCTAAAGCTATTGGAAATTGTTAAAGTATGAAGAAAGAACTGAAGTTTATGTTTATGTTAGAAAGTGAACAGATGCTCAGAACACTATGATTTAGTTATAAAGGAAATCTAGCCACTTTCATACTCAGCTGTTACTAAAGCCTGTGACTTTCAGGTTATGCTTTGTTTTACCTAAAAAGCCATCAGTAGAATCCTTTCATCAAAAGAATCCTTTAAGTAGCTCTTCTGGTCCACACAGAATTTTTCAATAAACAAAAACTGGACTTAACACAACTTAAAAATTAATATACACATTTCTTAAATAGGGCTCAAGTCAGTTCTAATCATCCATGGTAGGTTAGCCACCCGTGGATATAGAAGTGGTATTCTAATTTTAGATTTATTTTCTATGACTTTAGAGTTTGTAATAAAGTAAAATAGAGTTGTTCTCTCCTCTGCAAATCAGTGTGGATATTCATTGAAGCACTATGTGTAAAAGACTAGGAATAGCCTAACTGACAAGTAATAATTACAAGTGGAATCATTTCACAGCCAATAAAAAATGCACTTGTGAAGAACATTAAATGAAGTGTAAATGCTACAATAAGCATTAAAAGAACAAAGTAAAACACCAAACTATACATATGACATGGTTACAATTTCATTTAAAGAGAAAGAAGGAAACACAGAAATCAAAATTCAAACTGTAAGCCTAAAAGAAAATACAAAAAGATACTAAAATATTTAAATTTATCTCTAGATTGCAAGGCTACAAGAAACTTTTACTTTTCTTTCAGGAGCTTGTTTGTAGTTATCCTACTTTTCTGCAATCAAAATATTTTCTAAGTCAGTGAGAAAACAAGGAAAGTCACTTTTTTAAATTACCAGGTCAATTTCTGTTCAAATATTGCAAAACAGCTGGAAGATCTATTCACTAAGTCAAGAAGCTTTAAAGTCAGAAGACATAGATTCCTACAAAATTTTATTTAAAAGATAGTACCTGCATAGAAATTATAATAGTAATAAATGTAGTCTATGTAGTAGTTCTTAGAAATTAAAATTTGATGGCTAGGCAAATATTAGAAATAGTTGACTCTTTGCCAGAAAGAGTAATTTTCAGGCTACTCATTAGCACTGAGCTTTTATTCATGATAAGTTTATTGTGGATAATATAAATAAATAACACACCATCATTATTTGCATCCAGACTGTTAAATGCCAGCCTCATTTTTTTCTCATGGTCTTTAAGGTACTGCGTAAATTCTTCAAAGTCCAATTCTGAATCTTTGTTGGTATCTCCAGCTTTTAAAATTACCTATAAGAAAGAAGAAACTCACTGCAGAGACATATAGCTAATTAAGGTATTACAAGCACTGACATTTGCACTTTTCACTCATATGATTTCCGTAAGTATCCACTGTCCTAGCTCTTCAGTCACAGCTATATGGCTTAGTAGTTACATTTTGAAATTTATCAATCACTGGTATGGCACTGTGGGTTAAAGCACTGCACTGAAAAGTCGGTTTGAATCACAAGATCAGCCATTCAAGCTCACCAGCTGCTCCTTGGAAATCCTACACAGGGTTGCTATGGGTCAGAACTGACTTGACAGCACTTAACAACAACAACAATCATGCCACCCCAAATCATTACAAATTTATAATCTAGTATTTAAACACATTAGATATTTATCTAAGGTAGATAATGAATGTCACATACCACAAGGAATATAAAGTTACTAAGATGCATTGCTTTTGCCATCAAGGTCCTCACAATATGTTCGTTATTAACTAAATGATGTAAATATGTGCAATTGGAGCATTTCCCACACATTCATACTTTGAGACTTAGCCTTGTAAATGCAGTATGTATGTTCAGAGCTCACTAGAACTTATGCTTTCTTTTTAAAAAATTTAAATGATAATCATATCATAATTTTAAAAACATTATAGATATTTCCAGAGTACTCCCACCTCAAAGACATAGTCTATCTCTTGTTCATCTTTGTGTTAGCAATGTTTACCATAAAGCATGTTGCTGTTGTTGTTAAGTGCCATCAAGTCAGTTCCACTCATAGTGACCCTATATAGGGTTTCCAAGGAGCAAGCCACGACTTTCATTATTGAAAGATTCTCTGGGCAAATTATTGAACGATACAGAAAGCATCAAGACAATATGGAAGGAATGCACAGAATCACTGTACCAAAAAGAAATGGTTAATGTTCAACCATTTCAAGAGGTAGCATATGATCAAGAGCCAATGATGCTGAAGGAGGAAGTCCAAGGTGCATTGAAGGAATTGGCAAAGAACAAGGCACCAGGAATTGATGGAATAAAAATTGAAATCTTTTAAGAAAGTGAG